GAAGAATGAAATCAGACTTTTTTTTGTTAAATTACCATCTCCATGTGAAAGACCTTGCCCAGCAAATACATGAAAATAATTTGCTACATATTAGCTAAGGGATAAAAAAAATGATTATTAAATTCTCTTAAGAGGGAGACAAAGGGAGACAAATTTCCTTTTTAATAAATCATGTGAATCTTAACTTCCTACAGTATTTACTCATTCCCTTTCTCTCTTTAACGTATGATCTTAAGAAAAACAACATTCTGAAACAACATTTTAACCTTGGATATTGCTGCTTTATCCCATCTCGGAAAATTAAATAACTGTAAATATCGCTTTTCATGACACACTGTCCATTTCCTCACTCTTTTTTTACGCTCAATACTTTATTTTGCTAAAAGGTAGATTTACTTTGACCAAATTCTTCTCACAATGTTAAAACAATTTCGGCAGCATTTTAATGTGCAAATGAAAGAAAAGTACATTAAATATAAACATTCACATCAGAAAAAAGGATTCTTTCCTGATTATTCCATTAGCACAAATAAAAACAGATCCACAAATAAATAGCTCATTCCAATTTCTTACCCTGTGTCTGCAACATCACAGTGCCATTTAATAAAAACAACAGCTACAACAGCCAAATTCTCCAAGACGCTTCTAAGACTATGCAAGCTTTTAGGCTACTATAGGGACAGCATCACAGTCCTTTAAACAATTCTCTCAGTTAAATATGCACCATGGACTCACTCCAATAAATCAAAGTCTAATATCTCCTTCCAGATTTACAATGGCAAGACATCACTTCTGGCACAGCATTTAAATCTCTATAAGAAATGTATTTTTTTCCCCCTAAAACAAAAACAAAACACTTAACAAAAATGAAAAGCTATAATTCCTCCACAACTATGGATCTATGGATATATTCATCTCCGTCTTGGTTTCATATATTAATCCCAACACAGGGTTGAAAACAAACAGTACCAGAATCACTTTACAATCCAATTTCAGGTTCTGCTGCATTCCTTGTCTGTGCTTTGGAAGGTGTAATTTGAATATTTCCACCTTTTCAGTGATTCCACTACTTGACAAATCAACCATAACAATCCACAGGTTGGTATTTTGGTAGAAAATTTCATTTGAAAATTAATTAAAAAACTGTATAACACAATTTGATTTAAAATTCCATAACCCCAAGCATTCAGTCCATTTAGAGAAATGGTTTAAGGCCGAGTAGCAACATAGGTATTCAGATATTTGGGAAAGGCTGCATTGAAGGGATTTTGAAAATAAAAGGTAATAATTTCTAAAGGCACTTGTGTTTTTGTGAACACAAACATTAAAGTTGTTAAATCAAGTTTTATATTGATAATTCATTATAATCAGGTGCAGTGATTTACAGAGTTAAGGGGTGAAATATTTATCAGCTCCACTTAAAACATCTAAAGTCAGTGGTGTTAACACACAAATCAGGGACACAGAGAATTATAGGTAACAAACTCTTTAATGCAGACCCAGTACTGTTCCTGTATAAAAGGTCCTATCCCTGATGCTTAAACAAGAAAAACAGTAACTTTAGTACCAGAAGAACAGTTTTAATCACTATAGATATATTACATTGCAGAGCTTATCTGTCCAGAGTTATCCATGGGTTCATTCATTTCCTTTACACAGCAATACTGATGGAACATGTACAGTATTACCAATCATGCTCTTTGGAAACCCGAACATGGATGGTCTTAAATTCATTTATTATTATTATTATTATATCTGTCATTTCTATCATACAGAAATACGAAGATGTTGTAACCAGGACTTTATTGATATTTTACTGAAAAGAGGTGCCACTAACTCTTATAATAGTACAGGATGTGATAGCTTATTGGCCTTCTAATTTTCAGGAGATCAGATATTTTTCCCCCAGAATAAATTTGTATTTTTTTACATCTTAATTGGTATTGAGATAAAGTGCAGCAAACCTAAGAATGCCAGTGATGGAAAGGGGCAACTCTTGTTTAGTTAGTGTGAAATATGATGTCCCTGGAGCATGATTGTTTATTTTATTTTAATTTATTCATAATTATTCACTAATTAATGCAGCAGAAAAGCCCATTCGGATTCATCATCTCATGTACTTAAGTGTCCTGGGGGCAAGAGCACCAATTACCCGACTTAAACAAGTCAGCACTCTGTCCATGGTACAACAAACATTTGGAAATCAAGCACAATGCAAATGAGAGGGAATAATCCCACACATTTAATAGGATATTAGCCACTGGTCTCCCACAGTTGACTCTGTAGTGGTCTGCATGTACTGTACCACGGATGATTGTGAAACATCTGAGATATTTTTAATACCAGATTTGTTCTGTTTGTCCCACTAATTATGTGGAAATTTCATTCAGAAGCAGGTTTGCATTGCAGGTGATATACACTAAAGCAACAACTGCTTATTTTTGTGACTTAAAAAAAATCAAGAACAATTACTGTGCGTCTTATTGTTTTAGGAACTTTTGGAAGCAACCTTCTGAGGTCCTGTTATTGCTCTTAAAAATACAACTTTCCCACTGAATTTCAGATTACTAGAGAGGCAAGAAATGATTCAGACGCCTGAATTATCACATTTTCACAGCACGGTGGCTTATCATTGTTGAAATCTGCCAATATCCATGGTGATTAACACGAACGTGAAAGGATTGCATAGTTGTGCAAGATTAAATCAAAAAAAGCCCTCACTTCCAGCTACAAATGAAAGTATTATAATACTACTCATTGATCCATTTTATTCCATTGTTTCCTTTTTGTTTTGAATTTTCCCAATCCCCGTATTGTCCAGAAATGGTAGTATACCCCTGATTTAGCTTAGCATGTTTGCTTGTGCTTGTTTCATACTTTAAGAAGGAAAACAGCCAACTTTTGTCCTTATGGGTTTTTGTTCCTATCAAGGCTTTCTTGCTTGGTTTCTGTGAAACAAAAAGATGTTGCTTCACTCACAAGAAAAGCCAACTAATTGTCTGGGATTCTATATCTAAGAATTGGAGGCTTTAAGTGATGGAAAGGTAACAGCTATTAAAGGCAACTGCAGATGTGCTAGAATGGCAGGTCACATCTGGAACCTTAACAGCCAGCAGCACCACACATGAAGCATGAGCTTGAAGCATTCTTGAACCCACCAGAGATGAACAGAAGACTCTCTAAGCCACTTTGTACTTCTGGAAAAAGATCATAAGCAACTGTCAGAGCTCTGTGCATCTTGTAATTGCATAACATGTCTTGGGCTGACTTCTGAATGCAAATGTATGCTTTCAAGGAAGACACTAAATACATTAGCTGCGAGACTTGCAGCGTTTTGCTGATGTTACAGCCATTCTAGGCTGCCAAAGATAAAAAAAAGACTTTCTCATTTTAAAAAACTTCTGCTGCAGAAGTCTCATTTTAGCAGTAGGATGGTTTGCAAGACTAGGCTGGCACTTAAAACGTTATTTGGTGTTCAGAGATGTTCTCTACACCACCACGTTAAACACACATAAACATCACTTGATTTGGTTTCTAAAACGCTCCTCTTAACTCTGACCACACAAACACTGCACATCGATCAAACACAGCGGAACTTTTGATATGAACTCTCATGATGTACGATGCTTTGGGGAGGGAAGTTTTCACAAAAACTCGGTTGAGATTACTGCACTGATTAAGGACACTGCATTGATTTAGAATATTCGAGGAAGTGGCAGGAACCGGTTAAATTCACAGCACCAAGCACCATTAACCTCATCACGGGTGCTGTTTTTAGTGCTGAGCTGCTCGGATAGCAGACGCACATTAGCATGAATACAAGAGAGCGATCCTTTTCGTTTCACGAAGCTCTCGGCGAATCCAAAACTATCCCGGCCGCTACTTTCTCTTTTCCTGTACTGCATCACTTCCACACAGCCGCGACTCTGAAGCATCAAGCTGGAACAACAGATCAGGCTCGGAAGCTAGCTCCCGTAAAACGTAACTCTTTTGTTACGTCGATAACCGCCCATCAGCAACAAAAAAGTTACTCTGTAAACTTGACATAATAATGCAAATAAAGCCCGAGTCATTTACATCAGAGAGAGAGAGAGAAAGATAGTACCCCCTCTGAGCTCTGCGTTTCTTCATTCCCCGTCGACAGATCCTTAAAACACAGAAGGAAAGGCGCAGCGCTGTAGTCTTCGCAGCCCAAACCCAGTCTGGTTTACAGATCTTTCACAATTTGATTCAATGCCTAGCCCATATGTTAAACAAAACATGCCAGTTAACAATCGTATATACTGTACATATGTTCATGAGCTATATGCAGCACGTCAATATTAAGAAACCACCTTAAATCTTCCGGACGTAAAATCCGTGCTGCACGCAGTTTAGGTATAGCGCAGGTATCTCTTTTGACACTTGTGCACGTCAAAGACACATAAATAACTACACAATTCTTACGTAGTGCTCTTAAGTTTCGCACCATTGCTCAAGAAGGCACAACAAATTTAATTTTCACGTACTTCTGCTTAACAGCCCAATCATCACACCTAGACACCAGCGGCACCACTGTTCTCACTCTTAAAGATTGTAAAAACCTCACTTCACGGAATTATTACCTTAGGGGTGCGGAGATCCAATTTGTCACGACTGTCAAATGAGTCATTTTAATATATTGACTCGCGTATTTAAACGTGCAACCTTAATTAAAAACGTTCTCGATTCAATATGTTAAAAGTGTGCGTGTACGAATAATACCAGCGCTTTGAGTTTCTTCCAAAGCACTAACAAAATCGTGATCTATGATGTTATTATTGCTGTTATTATTAACTAGTCATAGTTCTAATACTAAACTGTCATTTTATTAAGGGGAATGGAAGAAGACTAGCAATAACACACAAGTACAAAACAACGCAGCCTCCCCCTTAATCGACCCGTTTCATCTAATTAATGCCACACTTAACAGAAGCCAGAATATGTGGATCGAGTTAACGAGAATTAAATCTACAACTTACCACTGTAGGTAAATCCGGCAAACAGCAGCAAGCTTCCAACCAACATCAGACCGGACCTCCAGCAGACAAAGGGACCCAGAAGCAACAACATGATATTCAGCACCTGTCCGTTCAAGTTTGGATAAAGCTGGTGGTTTAAGAAACAGCGGAGAAACTCGCGCGTCTGTGTCGTTAGCCGACGAAGCAGTTCTTATTTTCTCCCTTCAGCAGCCCGTGAATGTGCACTTGTAGCAAACACCCGAGTCCACCTTCCTGTCCATGGATATCTCCGTTCTGGGTCCTCTCTGCTCAAGAACAGCGCGACACAGGTGTGGTGCAGAACGCTGTCGCTGGAATTTCTCAGTGTAGCGGCTGTGCGTTGCGTGAGTCTGCAAGCGTGTTCCGTTCAGGGGCAGAGGCAGCAGCCTGCCTTTTTTTTTTCTTCTCTATTGCTTCGCTTGCGAAACAGTCTGCTACCTCCTTCGACCGCGATCTCGCATGAACTGATTTTTCAGTAGCAGAACATCTGCTTGTACAGCAATGCAGGAGAGAGGGAGGCTAAGAGGTAAACCGAACACCACTGCTGCAAAACCAGGAGTGGATCCCAAGCCCTCACATGGAATGGATTGACCTCAAGATTAATCACCACTACTACCCCCCGTCCCCTGCCAAGAAAAAAAGTCAGGCCAATGTATTCCAAACACGGCGTCTGGTTTTACACTCACCGTTACACGTAATCATTATTCATATTGTATATGCGGTAACAGGAGAAACCCCCCTCAAAAGCGAAGTTTAGTATGGTGTGAGAGTAAAAAAGATGATGCTGCCGATTAATTATGACAGGATCAGAAAGATCCTGTGATTTCTAGTCTTCTTCTGCAGATTATGAATCCATACGCTGCGAGACAGTTCTAAGTAATCAAATGCAGCCTAAGATTAACGTTTAGTCATGAACATATTAACAGCTCTACCTCAGTTTGGGGATTTAATTAGCCCAATTGTAAGACAGTTTGCGAAAAGTCGTTTAGAAGCAGCACTGGCAATTGCCTTCTCTTGTCAATTGTTAATTATTGCACATCTGATATGCGTAAACGCGTGGAGAGATTTCAGCAGACAACATATTGGGTTTGAATAACCACAGTTCGTTAGTGTTGTGCGCATCACAGGCTTTCTAGAAAGTAGAAATGAACCCTAAAGCACCAGTCTTATCAGAAATGCATCAGAGATAGTTAATTTATTTTTTTTATCTGGTTTTGGCACATAATCAACTTTTACAGCAAATAGAATCTGGCAGTTTGAGTATCAGGCTTTGAATTCACTAATTTCTGTCACTGATCTGCCTATGATTGCAGTATAATATTTTTCATCCATTTGCTGGGTGAATGTTCTTTTAACCAAGCTAATCCTTCCCAAGATTAGACAAAGCCTGTTAGTAGTGCTGTCATAAAGGTAGCTGTAAATATTACTCACTACATGCATACAGTACATTGGTTAAAGAATCATATACTGTAAGTCTGTCAGGAGCTGAAGGTAGAGATCACATGAAAGAAGGACTTGTCAGGGCGAATTAACACAGCTGCTGTTGTCAGAGTTTTATTTTTAGATATAAGAAGGGTTAAAAATGAGAGAAGGCCATTTGGCTGGTCTTTTAATCAACAAGATCTATGTTCTTTTATCATCTTTTGGCATGCCTGTTTGCTGCTGTGGAGACAGCTGGAGTGAAGAGCACTAGATCTGGTCACAAGCTGGTTTCCTGAGGCCACCTCTTTAAAGGCATTAAACTGGAGTAAAACACTGAAGCAAAACAATCAATCAGTAATAAGCTTCTGCGCTGGGGAACCTGACATGTGCTACAAATTGTAGATTAATCTGCTTTGTGCACAATGCTGTGCTTAAAAGTCCCTGAAGAACAAGGCAGAGATAGATAGAATAGTGGTGGATGGATTGGATCAATGAGCAGAGAGATGGATGACAAGACATAGTCAAGTAGAGAGAGGGAGAAGACTGTCATGTAGTTAAAACAGGGAGAAGGTCTTTAAACACAGTAAATAGTGTTTCAGTGTGAGGGAATGGGATGAGTTTATAATGTCTACATTATTTATGCTCAGGTATGGCATTGACAGCATTGTCTGACTTGGGTACCATTGTGGGGTCATGCTGGGGACACTTACAGAAGAGTTGTGTAAAACATAAATTGAACAGAAGAATTACAGTTCCAGGGGTATTTTTCAGTGAATGCATAATTAAAATCATAAGTAAAAAATGTATTTAAAATCTAGGTGGGTTCCCACAAATTTATAATCCAATGCACCTTGTCAATGTTTAAGGATGTTGTGTTAAAAATAATGAAAGCACAACTTCTTATCTTCTCTTTGTTGGAAAAATCAATCAAAAATAATTGACAGGAAATCCTCTTCTTCAGCTGCTTTAATAAAAGCTTATTAGAGTAGTATAAGCTGTATTTCACTGGTCATATAGCCTGAGCTGGATTGAAGCCTTTGAACAATAAAAATACACATGGAAACCTGCAAGAAGATTTAGTTAAACTGATCACTGCTTAGTGCCCACGCAAGGCTTTCGATTTGCTGTTGACTTTCATTGTGTCTTTTATTATAGGAAATATCTTGCAGCTAAGTAATGACTGTAAGCAGACAAAAAGACAGCAAGATAGGAAAACTAGTTATAAATTAAACAAGGTGGGACTTAAGCTTTCACAGATATAGTTCTTGTGTGAGTAAAGCTGCATCTACTTTATTACAAACATTCTTCTGATCTCCACATCCCGAAGAAATCATAAAGAAGTGCTCTGATAGGTGAGATGGTGTTATAGAAGTTAGACTTATAGGTCTGGAGGACTGGTGTCCTGGATATACTACTTGCGTAGATATTAATACATTAAAACAGAAATGTTTAGGACCTTGTAAGGACAAGCAGAAAAAATATGATATTTTAAAACTGCACTATTTTGCAGAAAATAAACTAGAATATTTTTTGCTTAAAATATTGCAAAAACGTGGGAAAAAAACAAGGTGATAGGATTGTTTTGTTGGCTTATTTGAGCATGTCATCATTAAATTAAATGAGATTTTATTTGGCATAAATTATTTTTCAATTTAAAGGCTAAACACTGTGGGAAATTATTACTACGTTAACCTGTTCAAATTACTTTCCTTTCAAGAGCATTCTTTTTCTCATCTTTTCTAAGCTAAATTAATATCATATTCTGTGGCTTCTTCCTCATAAGCATGTCACTTCTCTGTATTGATTCGTTGTGATGTAATTAATTTAAGGAAAATTCCCCATGGAGTAGAAGTTGGTCAGATAGCTTTGCTGTAAAGACTTAACGACCAAGCAGTGTTCTTTACTGCAATCAATCCTTAATTTCAGATTTCATTACCCATCGTAATCAACCACCAGGAAATTGAGAGTTTAAAAACAACTGCATTCTCAGAGTGGCAGGCTTATCTAGGAAATTGGTGATGAATGTAATATGTTGAATTTGGTCTTATCTTTTCTATAGATATTTGTGAACCTCACTCTGTTTCTTATGTTTGTTTATCTTCTATGTTTTCAGAAATGTAGCTCTTTCTCACAAATGTTTCTTCCTACAGCTATTAGATTAACCCCTTCAGAATTTGAAGGGGTCACTACAGAATTTGAGGATTTTAGCACAATGATAGAGGAAGTAAAGAGTCTGTAATCTTCATGCAGGTGTGGCATTTTGCTGTATTCCCTGAGAACAATGAATGCTGTCTTTTTTTTTTTACTCCACATCTTCACAAACAAAGCCATAAAGATCAGGGTTGAAAAACCTGATCAAACAAACAGCAACTCTATGAATGAGCACACTCTGCCCTGTTTTGCTCCCCTGCTGGGCCAGTGACTCTGTCTGTTCTCTGAATCTCTGTGCCTGCTCAGTCTTCCTTGCCACCCTTTGATGTCACAGCCTGCTCTGTGAAAATCTTTCGCTAATTTACAGCACCTCCTCAAAACTCATCAGCCTGTGCTTGTAGATCCCACGGCCTGCTCTGTGTCGCACACCTACCGACTATGCATTGCTTCGAATGCCATTTTCTGCACATTTGCCGCATTACAATTCATTCTGTGCTTCATTTATTTTACGTCTTCCGCCTTGTGTTGTACATTATGTAAATTACTGCTCTGTGTGATGTCTCGTATTTCTGTGACCACAATGTTTTTACTGTAGGTTATATCTAACCTACAGAATAAGCCAGAGAAGTCAACACTTCACTTCAAGCTCAACAAGAAAAAAAACACAAGAAGCTGCATTGTCTGATACAAACTCCAGAAAATACTGTAGCTTGTTAAGATTTTTGGACTGATGTGCAAATGAGAACACAAATAAGCAAGATGGGCTGAATGGCTTTCTCTTGCAATTATAACCCTTGTAAGCTAAAATGAAAGGAAATACTATATATATATATTATAATATTATAGAGAAAATCAGGTTTGCCTCTTAAAAATTTACAGATGGAGTTTACATAGCATTTTTACAATATTAGAGCTCTCACCCAAATGGAGGTAAACATATGCACCTGATGTTTGAAAATTATGCAGTGGAATACAACTAGGCTGTGTTCTCCATGCATATAACAAACAACAACATCGCTTTATTAACCCATTACAATTTCTTGCATTAGGAATTGTCTTTTCACACACCCCAGCTTCCTCTCCATGAGACACAGACAGGGAGAGAGCCTGGGGTCAGAGTGCAGGGTCTGCCATTGTACAGTGCCCCTGGAGCAGTTGGGGTTAAGGGCCTTACTCAGGGGCCCAACAGAGTAGGATTCCTCTACCAGTTGTGGGATTTGAACCAGCAACCTTCCAGCCACAGGTGCAGATCCTTAGCCGCAGAGCCACCACTCTGAACCAACCTATATGAAAATATAGATTTCTCAGGATGAACAGCTTTCATGACCTACACCCACATAATACACAACAGTCCCTCGCGACAGTTTTTTCAATACATATTGAGCTCAAAGGGTGTCATGTTTATACTGTTTATACTGACTATACTGTTTCTGTATAGTGCATGGATTAACCACATAATAAACACAGCTTCATGGACTGTTATTCTGTTGAAATCTAATAAAACAGTATTTTACAGTAAATCAATAACAACAACAACAATAATAATAATAATAATAATAGTAAATTAAACAATATTTCTCATCATTATAATATTTCATGGAAAAAAACAAGATGTACAGTACAGTGTATAAATTAGAAATGTTAACAAAATGAAAACTAAGAACCTCATACTGTAGCAATGCTTTCGTGTAGAAAAACTAAAAACCAACATCAACAACCAACCAATGAGTAAATGATGCTACAGGGGCAATGCAGCAGAGGAAACTAAAGGTTTTTAGTTTCCATATCTGTTTCCTTCAAGTAACAGACCATAGTCAAGTAGCCTGAGGTGATTAGAGGACAAAATAGGTTTATCCTTTTTCTGCAGCAGACAACTCTAGAAACTGTAGCTTGGTGATCACAGATTTAGACAGTGAACAGTGAACTCGAAGAGGTGTTATACAGGCATTGGAGAGACCTGAAGAAGTTGTCAAAGTGAAGACTGAAGAGTGAGGAGTGGAGACTGAAGAAAGCTGGTAGATTTATTATGTTGTGTCTGAA